ATGACAGCCCTCATTCACACTAAGATTTCATAGCGATGCACAGGCTTAAATGCTAAATATTAGTAATATTATCTGCTTCTTGGAGACAGTCCAATAAACATTTATTATTATGAAAACTTCTTTAATATAAATAAGTTTGAGAGGATAAATGCAGTGTTTAAGACCAGTGTATGAACATATGGATTTTAATCTGATAAACTTTGTACTGTTTCTATGGATATTTATGGAAGTAGTTTATCCTAAAGTACTGTAATGTAAGTAGCTGGGAGTTTTAACCCAAGTGGGCTTGACTCTCTTCAATTTGAATATGCAAATTCTTTGTTAATGTCATTGCCTAAAGTAGTTATTCCCACTTCTCCAAGAGTTTGGTTCCATCCAAAGTGAGTCAAACATTGTAGGAGTTAAGAAAAATACTAGCAAGCTCTGATGGTGCAGTTTGAGAAGTGACTCTTGGATTTTAGTGAATAGAGAAGATGGAGGGAGGGTAAACTGCACTTCAAACTCCTGCAGGTGACCTGTGAGGGGAGAGAGTACAGACACTGAACTGGTGGTTTTTATGAGGAGTCGTTTGGTCTTCTGTACCCAGACATTGCAGACCATTCGCCTCTTACTCCTTTCCTTTTGAAATCAAGAAGATTTTTATGTATCAGGCTTTCTTTTTAAGTTTGTTGTTTTAATAGTCATTTCATGAAACGGAGTCTAAAAATTAGAATTTTTGAATACCAGCTCTTAGTTGCTGGTAGAATGTCTCATACTGTTCTATGTTGAGTGTTCTAGGTACTTTTAATTGTTTAGGTTTGGTACCACATGAATTTCAGAATGAATCTGAAATCATCATTATGGTGCTGTGTCTTCGTGAAAGCTCCGCTTGTTTTTGTTGGACCATATTATTGAAAAAAAACTTAAGTTTTAGCTTCAAGGGCCTCTGAGGGAAGCCATTTTGCTGAGGGTAAAGTGAGGATTTATTTTAGTGCTTATCCTGTCTCTTTAGAACCTCAGAATCACAGGTTTGGTTTTTTTTAAATATCAGCCTTGGAAATGAACCCGTTCAAATTACATGCGTTAGGAAAAAATGTCTAAGGTATCAGTCTAAAGCTATGTAAACAAACAGTGCTTTGTTTTGGCAAAAGCAGTGCAGAGCTGTGGGGTTTGGGAATTGAACACATTAAACTGCAGTATCCAGGCTCTAGATGTCACTGTAGAAGTTGCTTTGAAAGGAAATAGGCTAAATGACCACATTAGAAATTACCTGAATGCGTGAAAGTGCTTTAATAAAATCTGTAAGGTTAATATAGTCAGGCTACATTTTTTTCCCTTTTAGACTTTCTGTGAATGTTATTTTGAAATGTAAAATGCTTGGTTGTTTTTTGCTGCACAGGAAAATCAGGACCCTGTAGTCCTTGTAAGGTACAGGTATCTTTCAGCTGGTTTTGTGCTCCCTTAGCTCCTGGATGATTAGGAAGTTAGACAGTTTAGAGTAGACAAAATTACTGTTGTCTGGTGCCAGAAACTTCACCTGACCTTTCCAAGTGACTCCAACCTGGGACAAACCCCCTGTGCCCCACATTCACCTCTGGTGTCAGAATAAAGATGTGAAAGCTTTCACAGGATGGCCTGCAGTTGTCCTAATTGCTCTCACTGCTCTGTGAGACCAGATGTGTCTTGAGCCTGTGACATCATTTCACCCCCTTCAGCTTTGCTTAAAGGCTTTGTAATCAGTGACAATTGCAAATTTGCTTCACCATCAGTTAATGTGATCCTGCAGTGCTTGGAAGCTGGATCATATGGTAAGGAAAACAGAAGATGCAGGAAGGTAGAAAACTAGAGACAGCTGTGCATCAGAAATGTGAATGTCAAGAACTTTTTCCCTTGCCACAACATTTGTTCCTGTCCTTTCAATCTACCGATAGAGGACTCAGCAATTCCTTTCCTTCTGTCATAACCTTGCTGTGTCAGAAATACCCAGAAGGTGGCTGTTGAAAATAGCAGCATTGAAAGGAAGTCTTTTCCATTACCAAATGTTATTACAGAGCAGCTTGTGTACAGAGAAATCTTTATGTAAGAGAACAACAAAAGGGAAAGGGGGGGTGTGGGGGGGAATGTAGCTCTGAAATGAGATTCTTGTGTTTTCCTGTAAAATTCCTGCTGCAATTTGAGTACCCTTTGTCACTGGCTTAGTTTTGCAATAACTTTAACAGAATGGTTTTTATCAGTAAAACATCAAGAGGTTTTGCAATCTTTTGTGAGCCTTTATTGTTATGTAGAATTTTCCATAGTTGCAAAAATCTTGTTATAAAAATATCTCTTAATATAACTGAGGGATATAAGAGTGAGAGTATATAAGGTGTAAGAGTAATTTAATCACATCAAGAGCTTTAGTTGCTGGGGTTTTATCCTTAATTCATTCCAAGTACTCCAGCTTTGTTCCATGATTTCCATGTAGTTTGAGTACCTGATTAGCAAATTAGTGTGCAGCTGGGGCCAGGGTGAGCCTGTCAGCAAAATGCAGACATCCAAAATGTTCATTATGGCTTTATCTTGATAGGTATGAATGCTTGTTTCCCATATGTGATCATCTAAATAGATAAACCTGCTAAAGCAAAAATACACATATTCTGCCTTCACTGTCATTAAGATTCAGTTCAATATTTCTGTGACTGGGAGTAAAAACCAGGGAGTTTTTCCAGGGAATAAGACCAAGCATTATGTTCTGTACTGCATGTCATATACACATCTGAGCTGGTCCAGGTTACCTGAGACTTGACCTGTGGATAGATTTGCATGGTGATTTTGGCACTATACAGAGCTTAACCCGTGATATGAATTCTGAGAGCACACTCAGTTACCACTTCTGCCTTTCATTGCCTGAACTGCTTCTAGCTCAGCACTTCAGATTTGGCTGGTAGAGTTCAACACTCCTACACTTCTGCTTTTAGGCATAACTAAAAAATTAGTAAACGTAGTAGATACGTGTTTGTCTGTGTTTATGTAACTGTATATTTCGTTATTTAAAAAATAACCAGGATAGAATCTGTTCTTTATCTTTTTGCATCTTTTAATACCCAAAACAAGAAATCTGTTGCATGTTATTTTCCTTCCAGTCTTTTCAATTTGATACTTCTTTTATGCTTTCTGGGGACATGCAGTAATAATTAGTGTTTTTCTGTATTTTCTAGAGCTTGCTAGATCTTAGAGATCCAGTAGCAATTTCTTGGTGAGGATTTTGTTACATATTAAGTTGTTAAAAATTATTAAGGCTGCAAAACCACTATCAGAGGTGCAATTGAAGTGTCCTACCTGGCCACATTTTTTTTTGAGGTACACTTCCTCATTCAATGTACAAGTTAAGACTCCAAAACTTTCAGTATTATTTCTCAGTGTTTCTTCAGGCAATGCTCTTTTCCCCCTGTTTATTTTCACTCCTGTGCCCCTGGTTCATATCTCAATGTCCCCATGCTTGTTTTGTCCAGCCCTTTTCCTGTTGATCTATTAGTACGTTCAGAAGCAATTTTGCTGAGAAAAGTGTAATTATTCTGCTTGGCCTACCTGGAGCTGAACATACAAACTTTCTGGTCACTAAGTTTATAGGTTTCAGTCATTTTCTCACACAGTCTGAAAACTCCTGTCTTCTGATCGATGAGCTGGCTTCCCATGCAGCTCATTTGAATGGCTTAACCAAAAATTTGACAGACTCTTGTGGTCTCTAAACTGCTTTGCAAACTGAACTTTGTTTGTCTTATGATTTTGTGTTTACTGCAATAGAAAAGAATTGTTTTATTAGGTCTTTTTTAAAACAATTCACATGTCACCTGCTAACTTCTGATTTTGGCACCAGCATGTCCAAGCAGTACAAGAAGTTTGCCACATGAGCTGTGTTTTGCTGTAGTGTTTTTCTAACTCTCCTCATCCCTCATGCCTTTAAGTTTTGGGGGATTTTTCCTCCATGAACTCTTCTGTCAAATGCCAGACCAGTGCAGGACTCAATTTGTAATTTCTCAAATTGCTTGTACTGCACAAAAACTTTTCCGCTATTTGAAACAAGAAATCTTTGATGCAGCTAAGAACTTTAAAGGACATCACCTTGGGCAGATTACATAGGAAAATAATTAAGCATATATCATTTCTGGGTAGAAGTGTTTGAGTGGGATCTTGCTAAGAGTCTGTCACAAAGTTATATTTGATTAGTAGTTCCCGAAGTTTCATTCATTTCTCTGCCTTTTTGATAAGCACTGGGGAACAAGTAGTTGTGAATAGAAAAATGTAGGAGGAATGTCCTCAGCCTATGCTGCCCTCAAAAACTGTTATAAGAGAAACAAGCCCAGGCAGGCATTTTTCTGAGGTAACTGCAGCTACATTCCCTATGTATTTCAGGAGGGACAGAAGTGGTGGGGTTTGAGTTTGTGTCTGTGCAAATCAGAAGAGCACTTTGGTAGTGAACAACTCTGCTCAGCCAGTCTTGCAGCTGATGGTCTAAAACCAGTCCTGTCAGCAGCACTTGGCCAACTGGAGAGCTTTGACTGCTCAGCTCTGTCTTGCTGTGGTTACTTGGCCATTGGACGTGTAGCACAGTTGTGGCTCACCCATCCCAAGGAGAGTGTGTGTGCTTTGTTCAGCCTTCTTGTAAGGGAAACCTATGTCCAAAACTGTTGCTGACAACAAGAGAGAGCTGGGTCCTCAACTTCAGCCTAGTTTTTGCTTTCTTCCTTGACTTTTTAGGTAAAAGGAACTGTCCACAGGTCAAATATGAAATGTCTTTAGTATTACATGGATGAATGGATATTATACTGTTCTCTCTGCAGACTCCTTGGATTCTTTTGGATATACACATTGGATTTATTATGACTAATGTTGATGTAGCAAGATGATTTGAAAAGAAAATACAATATGTTACCATTTTATTTAAATATTTGCCATTTTATATCAAAGCCTGCCTAAAGGTAGTTAAAATCAGTTTATTATTATTTATAGTCTATGAAAATCTTTCCATATTTCTTCCCATTTCAGTGACAAATGTCATCGTTACGTTCTTGATGTTCTGATGTGCATTTTGTAAACAGGCCATAAAAACTTTTCTTAAATGTTTTATCTAACAGAAGGGTTATAACTGGATCCAAACTGCTTTTAGTAGCAGCAAGACAAGTAAGGACATTTTTAATTTCCACTAGATAGTTTAACCTTGGACAGTCATCATCTGTAAGCAGTACATAGAAAATTGGCCTAAAAATATGGTATGGAAGAAAACAGACAGTTAATATCATCTGGATGACAAGAATGTTTCTTCTCACTGTTCTGTAAATGAGGTGTTTTTCTCCAATACAGGTGTTTTTTTGTATTCTGTTCAGATGTCTAGTTAGAGAATAGTACGACCACAAAACGGTCATAAAAGACAGAAAAAAGCACACAGTGGCAATATAAGCTGCAATCATTGCAGGACGTTCACCAGCTTCTACCCTGATGTTGTAGCACGTGGGGAACTCTCCTGAAACCCTCTCCGGGGCGTTGTAGCTGATGGCTGTGACTGTAACGCAGAGCACAATCAGCCAGATAACGACGCAAAAGCATTTAGCGAACTTTGGCCGCCGGAACTGGTGCAGCAGGCGCCCTTGGAAGGTTCCTGGCAGAGCTGGGGAGTGTTGTGGGCCACAGTTCTTCTTCAGCGTGGCATACTGGCTGAGGGCAATGGAGCACAGGATGGTGATGGTCACGTACATGCTGACGTGCATCACCAGCGTCCCCAGGTGATGGGCGAGCCTGCACGCCGCCGACTCGTAGGGCCAGCGGTGCCCCTCCGCAAAGTAGGCGGCCAGGAAGGGCATGGTGCTGCAAACCAGCAGATTTGCAGTCACCAGGTTGGCCAGGTAAATGTACTGTGTCCTTCGGGCGGGCGTTTTCTGTGAAAATATCCAGGCACTCAGAATCAGAATATTGCCAAAGATCCCAGCGGGAAACAGGCAGGAGTAGAGGATGGGGAGAAATACGGTGGTAGCTGGCGATGGCTGAAGACATGATGAGTTGTTCATTTATGGCAGGATTTCTTGAGTGGTCAGAGCTGAAACACAATTTAAAAAGTAATATTTCTGTAATGTGCATCTAACATCTCTTCTTTGCTCTTATCTGTTTCTTTGTCTCCCTGACTTTTCAGTGTTCCTTTGATGCTGTTACCTTAAGTTTCCATGAGGTTACAGTTTAGGCATTTTCTTCCACTGAAATTTCATGAAGGAAAGTTAAACCCCAAAGCTTTCATGTGCATAGAATCTAATAAAATAAATTAGGAAGCTGAAGGTTCAGGCTAGGGTCTGGCAATAGCTTCTATGATCTTGGTTTATTTCTCAGTCTTCTGGAATGTCTCTAACCTAATTTGGAAACCACTTACAGACCATTTAAAATTAAATGAGCAAATTAAGTGCAAAGAATTACTTTAATTCCAGAAATGGAGAAGAGTATCTGTACCTCCATTTAACTATAAATTAGTCTGTGAACTGCAAGAATATCACTATATATATTTATTCTGTGCTCATGTCTGTATGTGATGTTACTTTATCACAGCTCTAATGTCAGATGTACATTTAGCAACTCAGTCTATATTCTTTAGTATATACAGTGATTGTTGAAAACTTCAGTATATAAATTTTTTTCCAAGTTCATTTTTCAGTCTTTTCTCCATTTTCAAACTGAAAATAAGAAATGAAAGCTCTGTGCAATGACTGTGTGTAAAAAGTGACATTTCAGCTTACAGCCCTGTAGTGTTTTTACTTTTGTATGCATAGATATACATGCATGTTTTAGTGGAGTGTATCCTAGGTAGGTTTTTTTTTCACTTTTGTATGCATAGATACACATGCATGTTTTAGTGGAGTGTATCCTAGGTAGTTTTTTTTTTTCATATCATATGGAAAAAAAAAAAACAGATTTCAAACTTGGAGACTAAAAATAATTTTTTTTAACAGCTGTAAACAAATGAACTCAGATGCTGAAGAGGATTCGGTGTAGCAAAGATAAAAGCCCAGACACCAAGTATAAAAACTGTCAAACACTGTAGGCAGTGTTTGACAAACTTGCAAATAAAAATAACTTTTATAGCTCTTGCATTTTAGTGTACACTAAGTTCTATGTGTATTGTTGAACCAAAATCTATTAAATTCTTCTATTATAATGAGTTGAATTCACAAAGTATTTGTTGAATTTACTGATTTTCAGAAGTCTAATGAAATTCTTTGTGTAACTGACCAAATTTTATCAGGTAAAACAAAGAAGTAGTAATTTTAAGCTTACCTATACAAGCTGCAGGCACCTTCCCTTGCTGAGAGGAAATACTCCTGTCTGGTATCTGTTTAATCTCCACTGCTGCAGTGAAAATGATGGCACTGGAATCTGGAGAGTACAGTTAAAAATTTCTCTCTGGCATAACTAGGTTTTCAGAGTGTACACTTCCCTTTTACAATGTCAGGAGGCAGGCAGGCATTTAAAGTTCAGAAAATATGATGTCTGTGCAAAAAAGGCTTTAAAATTAAGTCAGGATCCGCTCCATTAGGGAAAAAAAAAGATGGAGGTAGCATGGAAGAGCAGCTGTAACAGTCCTCTAGGTACGGCACAGAAACACCTTGTAATCCTTTATATGGAGCTTTCCTCTTTTGGGGCGTGGAGGGGTTCTCTTTAGGACTGCCCACTTTCCTTCACACTGCTATTTTATGCATGAAAACTTCTATTTTCCGTGGTATTAACAGTTTTTCAGCTCCACAAGCTGTCACCAAGCTGACTATTCCCAAAGGCCACGTGCAGTAGTGCTGTGTCCGTGTGTGTCCTCACATCAGTGACCAAATGGACACATCTCTTCTGTGTGCTCAGGGGATGGATTGTGGGGAAGCAATTTACACCTGATGCATCTGAGGGTTCTGGCAGGGAAAATGAACTGACTCACTGTTCAAGAAATGCTGTGTTTCATACAAATCATCCAGAGGTGTACACAGGACAGCAGCACAGATATGATCACAGAGCAAATTCTGGTCACCTCTTCAGAACTTGAGACTTCTTTTCCGATACATATGTGGTTGTAAGATAAGGCTTTTCAACACCTATAAATGAGTTCCTTTATGAGAACAGAAGTTTGGTACAGTTCTTGTTTTGCTAGTTTGGCTTTATGTTTAACCATAAATTCACCTCATGATCTGTTATCATTGTTCAGTCTCATTACTAATTTTTTTTCTAAAATAATGGATACATAAGCTGGCTTCGTATTCTGAATTCATTGTAGAACTAATTTGCAATTACATTTATTTGCTGTGAAGTATTAGTGATTAGGTTGTAAAACTGTAATTAGTTTGCATGTACTTTAATTCTTGTTAAATTTAATTATACCTTGTTTTCCACTTTTGAATGTATATTATATTAAAAACCGTTCTGACAGAGAGTCTTCTATTTATTACATGTTTAATAGTTTCAGTAGTGTTAGAAGTCCTTGTTGCTGTGGCATTCCACTGATGTTTAGATACAAGAATACCTATTCTGAAAAGTTGCTGAGAGAGGTGTGAACAATTCCAGTTAGCAGGTTTTTTTAAATTGCTAGTATTATTTGGTTGGGTATTGACTGTTGCCTGTAGTATTTATAATTTAATGATAATAACTCATGCTGTAAGAAGACATAACTGTTACATTTTTTTTCTGAATTATTGTATGATAATAGATTGTTGTAGGGAACTAGAGTCTGTCAGACTTTATTTTGGAATGGATTACTGAGGGCAGTAACCAAATAATGAGGTATTACAAGTTTTTAAAAATGCTGTCTGTCCCAGGAATACAGTTGCAGTTGGTTCTAAGCTGTAGCGAGCACCTTCCTTATTCTTTTAGTGGACTATTTCCATTCACCTAACTTACAAATGGTGTGTTTTATCTAAAATGTATTTGAAGATACTCAAATGGAACCCATGCATTTTTATGCCATTTACTCTTTAAGTTCATCATAATTATTTTTATGTGTGTCATTCACCTCAATGATTTACATTTTCTCTATTCTTGAACCCTGATCATTCTTAATTTATGCATGTTCTAGATTTTATACTGGCAATAGGCAGCATATGTTGCATTTCATCATTATATGCAGACAACTGGTTTTCTGGCCCTAAAAACACAAACCCCAGGAAATTCCCAGTGGTGGAATTTCTTGACTTCAGCAAGGCTTTGACACTGTCTCTCCCAGCCTTGTGTGCTGTCAGAGCATCAGACTAAAGATTCCATATGTGAACCTCCCAGTTCTGGGAATAATGTGATTCTCACTTGTTTTTCAGTGGTGTAAGTTGCACTTTTAGAATTGCTATTTGTCTGCCCTCAGAAACATCAGTGTGCAAGTTAATACTATAATTGCATTTAATGTTAGTGCAAAAATGAAAGTTGATGTTGTGCTTTAACCCTGGTAGGCAGGTGAGCCCTCACAGCTGCTCACTCATTCCCCCTCAGTGCGATGGGGAGAAGAATCAGCACCTCCCCTTCTGGTGCTCCCTCCTGCTTTGTCTGACACACTGATCAAATCTGCCAGTATCTACCAAAGGAGGTGCTTGTGGTTTTATCCCAGAAAGCTCCTATATCCCACACGTTCACTTACTTCCTCTCCAGTGGGCTGGGAGGCAGAACCGGTAGGGTAAAAGTGGAAATGCATGGTTTGTGAGAAAGACTTTAATAAGCTTAAAGAAAAAGAAAACAAAAAACCCAAGTGATAGAAAGCAACCCCATCTGACCAGTGCCCATTGAGATCCTAAAAACAGCAACACAGCCAAGCTTCCTTCCTGGCTTTTACTGCTGAGCATGGCACCATGTGCTCTGGGATACCCCTGGGGCCAGCTGTGTCCCCTCCCGTGTCCTTGTGCCCCCCAGCCTGTCTCTGCTGGGGTGTTCTGAGAGACAGTGAAGTCCTGCTTGTTGTGTAAGTCCTGCTTAGCAATGGCCGAAGCATCCCTCGGTGTCAATGCTGTTTGGATCACGAGCCCAAACCACAGCCCATCTTGTGAAGAAGTCTATCCCAGCCAAAACCAGCACAAGACTGGTACGTTTTGGTACACCAGCTGAAATTCAAGTATGTGTTTATAGATTTGAGTGAAGAGGAAAATGAGGTTCGTGCAGTTATATGGGGATGAGTTAGCTTTTAAATAAAAATAGAAAGCAAAATAAATAGAATTACCTTCATGTTAAAATTCACCTGAAGACTCGGGTAATCAGGCAGCACTGAGAAGTGAAGTAAGACACTATTTGAGTGACTAATTCCGTGGTCGTTTGACACGTCACAGTATGACTTTCAGCAGGTTTCCCAAGATGTTTCCGGACTGTTTGTTCTTCAGTAATATTTTCTTGTAAGGCCTGGCATTTTACCCTCAAATTTGGGAAAACTGATTGCAGAAAAAAAAAAAAAAAAGTAAGAATTAAATTTTTTTTTAAAGAGTAAATATATCTGCTTTTGTTTCTTGGTCAGTAGTAACTGCTTCCTACATGACGGTGCTGTCTAGTTTCAGATCCATTTCTGAGCCAGTTGATATATCTGGCCTTTAACATCTTGAAGCACTGATTTATACAGTTGTAGAAATCCAAAAGTATTTTCTGATTGCTTTCTGTGGTTGTCTCTTTGTTCTGAGTGCTGCTCCCTTAAAGCTGCACTTTGTCAGGATCATGTGGTCATTCCTGTTCCCCTCTTCCGTGCCATGCCTGAACTTAGAGATTTTCTTATAGACCTGTTTCCTCTCAGATTTTCGTTTCTGAGCTGGAGAGTTGATTAATTTAATGCATTTTGGATTTTCAGTATTGAAACCCTGTGATCTTCTGAAGAGATCGGAGGTTATTTTGGCAGTACTGCCGTGTCTATGAATTACAGACCTTGCAAATGAAAATTCTGGTCTAACACTTCATTCAAAAGAATTTTAAAAATCGCGTTTTGTTCAAGCTGCTGTTGCTCATGTCTGTCCTCTCCCGAATTCCCCAGCCCACACCCTCACCCCAACCTGCTGCTGAGTATCATCAACCAACTGCTCACAGAATAAGCAAAGAAAGAATGATGAGATAACATATATATCTTGTGAAATTATGGTTTATAAGCTCTACTGGATGTAACAGAATTGATGTAGTTATGTAGAACTACAATATTGCAAATAAAATTGCACTGTAGAAATACAAAACCAAGAGAAGCATTAAAATAATAGGATGGCAAAATGATAGATAAAAGATCCTGAAATGCAATTTCTGTGAGAATCAGTTAGAAGTTATTGTACAAACACCTCTGTTGTATGTGGAAATGTTTAAGTAAAAGTCAGTTACCATCATATCTCTATGAAATTACACATTTGTGGGAATCTTTCTTTTGAAGATAAGGAAACCCCCTAATTTTTTATTTAAAAAAAAAAAGGAAAACAAAGACTGGCTAGTCATTGTAATTTGTTTGACGTGTTTATATCCAGTTCCATCAAATCTGAACAATGTAAATTCGCATCAAAATTAAACCAAGCTTTATATCTAGCTGAGGTGAAGCCTTATGTTTACTTTGTTCAATCAGAGTATTATGAGTATCTTCTGTAAAATCAGAATATTGTATGGAATTAGTAAAAACCCACACATTTTGGCACAGGTTTGGCATTAAAAGTCACATGATCCATTAAAGAAGTTACTGGTAGTCATATTAAAACCAACTTCTTTACACCTACTTATTTGAGCAGTATTGTTTGTGCGTGTAAAGACAATAAATCCTTATTTTACAGAGCTTGATGTCTGGCCTCTGTATCTTTCACCTTTTTGGTCTCTTATGCCAGACATTTAATTTGTTCATGGTTATGCTGCTTTAGTCATCTTGGTGCCAGACATTCCCCACCTTCAGCTCTCTGGTTTTTGAGAAATGTTACAGCTTGGAATTTGTTTGTGCCTAAATACATAAAGCTGTTTAGTATCTGAGAATGTAGCTGTAGCTATGAAATGTTGTTATTACCTTGCTGTTCACATGGCATCAGCAATTATCAAAATTATTTTAATCACATGGAAGGAAAGGTCTCCTGCAAGGGAAGAAGCATGCAGCTGGAATGCGTGGAAATCTAGGAGTAGACCAGGGGCTGAGCCTGGCTGTGAGCTCCTTGCTGAGCTACTTCATGCAGTCATCAAATTTGTCACATTGAAGGAAATCTTAGGAAATACCCATGTCATCTCTCCTTCACTTATTTAGAATTTTCTGAAAGCATTGCTTGCTTTTCCTCAGGTGTTTGACCTTGACACTCATTAAAATGTTGGAAATACAAGGGTCTTTAGTAGGATTGAATATTTTAATTTTGCTGCTTAATGAAACTAAGAGTATCTTCTGTACTTAAAACTGAATTGATGGATGTTGTATTCTTCACCTCATTTTTGAGACACGCGTTGCTAAATTCTCAAATATTTTATTTAAAAATGCATTTATAAATGTAGCAAAAATACTGTTCTCTTGGAAACCTATTAAAACAGAGAAAACCATAAAATGCATAAAATCTGTAATGGTATCTACATCTTTCAAATCAGACAGAATTTCCTTTTTGCAAAATTTATCTATTATTTACAAACAGAAGCTACTAATATTAATGTACATATACAAGTTTACTTTTACAGGTTCAAACCCCTTTGTGGAAATGTCCCTAAAGAGTTAGTGTTCTAGTTTAGTCCAACACAAAATGAGAACTTCCTAATTTGTTTTCTTGGATAAACAAGAGCGAAAAAATTCTTCTGAAAAGTAACTTCTCATTTTCACAAACCAGAAGTACGACTTCTCTTTTTTTTTTAATAGGAGGAAAGAGAATTAGTAGCTGTAGAGTAGAGGATTTTGTGATCTGAAATTGGTGAGCTGGAGAGATCCATTTCAACATTCAAATCACAGACTTCTTCCTTGAGTAGCTGGAGTGAGGAGTGGTGGTGGATAATCGCTCTTGAGCGTATTGGCCAAGTTTTATGTCTGAAGTGCTCTCCAGGTTTAGGCCTGACTCTCCATGAAGCTTTGTGCAAATCAGTTGGAATACAGTCTTACGGACACTTCTGGACATTAGGAAATACATAACTGGGTCTAGGCAGCTGTTAAATGATGAAAATATGAGCATCACCTCATTGCAGGTGTGAATGATCTCCATCCAGTAACAGGATGGGTTTTGTAACTGTGATGTGATGTAGACAACCCGGAACATGTGATAAGGCACAAAACAGATGGTGAAAATTATGAGAACAATGAAGGAATTTCTTGCTGTCTTGGTGTATTTTCCTGCATTGGGAAAATTTGCCCTTCGCCTCGAAATTTTCAGAAGGTTCTTGGCAATTTTAACATACGAAAGTATCAAAAGGAAAAAAACTATCCAAAAAATCAGTACAGTGATATAATTTAAAATTGCTTCTGTCTTCTCTGCATTCTTTTTGCTTCGGTAATGAAAGCACTTGGTAGAGTTGCTGTCCTCAGTCTTAAAGAAAGATGGTGCAACTACCACTACAAATCCTGTCAGTGCAATCGCCCACACAGTGCAACAAATCTGCACACTCCGGGTAGTGGTTAGCATCTTTGGACGCTTCACAGACTTAGTTATTTTTATATAACGATCCAGACTAATTAGTCCCAACAATACTATGCTAATGTACATGTTCATGTAAAACAGAGTTCCCACAACCTTGCAAAAAATCCGCCCGAACATCCAGTGGTTGGTGGCATGATAGAGGATCCGGAAGGGAAGACAGAAGATGAGCAGGAGGTCTGCAACAGCTACGTTTAGCAAGTAAACTTGGATAGAATTCCTCTTCTGATGAATGCCCAGGAAAGCAAAAAGGGCTACAATATTTCCAACCAATCCAACAACAAAAATAATGGAGTAAAAAATTATTAAAGCAAGTGACAGTGAGTTATTATCATCCACGGAACAGCTGGCATCATTGTGGCTTTCTGAGGCATTTATGGTCAGGTTGGTTTGGTTACTCCAAAATTCTTCCTTGTGTGGACCAATGGCTGGTAAATCAGCTGAAGTTGCAGCCATCATTTGCAAAGGAGTTTTAGCTGTTCTGCAAAAAGACAGAGAATTTAAGAATTAAATCTCCATTCAAGTGTCTGTCTGCTTTATAGCCTACAGTTTAATGTGGTATAAACATAAAAGGAAGGAGGTAAAAGGAATAAATGCACCAAGTGTCAGTGTAGCTGAATAGAAGGAGTTTCAGCCAGATATCATAAAATAATATAAGTCTAGGTAATCTGCAGGCAAGAAAGATCAGATAGTGTAGAGTACTCACAGATAAATATTTCTGTAATTACAGCATTATTACTGTTTTGTGTTGTTTTAAAAATCAACTATTACATTTTCTTGAAAACTTAAGAATTTTCTTCATCTATAAGAATAAATAAGTTTTTTATTCTTAGGACCAGGATTTCTAGCACAGTAAAAATTTTAACTAAGATGCAGGGACAGGTAAGCATAGCTAAGTATTCTCAGTGTTGACATAAAGTACGTAGAAGTATATTAAAGGAAGTCTTAACTCATCTGTGTTAATTTTAAATAATTCAAATCTCTCACATGCAACTCACTGCTTCTCAATTAAAAAGCATTCTTCAATTAATAATATTTATTTGGCTATGTACTGTGTTATAAGTAAACCTGTGAAACAGTATTATTGCAATAGCTTGTCTTTAATAATCTGTGCCTTCACATAAATGTGGTTTTTTCCCTTGGCTATTCACAAATCAGTATAACACAAATAAACTACTATTAACTGGAAATCACAATAATGCGGTAACAGGTTGTTTTCGAACCTTTCTTGTTTTCATGGTTTTCTTTGCTTTCATTGAATAGTTTTTAATTTCACTAAGGTTATTGCTGACCAGGAAGGTACAATGTGAAAGATAAAATTAACCTTGACCAACAAAGGAAAACCAAGTGTGTGGTTTGGAGAGCGTGAAGGCGTTTAGGGAGATGGTTATCACTGATCAGTAATGATAAAACTTTAGTCTTTTTCTTGTTTGTCAAGGCAGCAAGAAGTACCATAAAAAATAATTTATTTAGAATGTTTTTGTTTTACAGTAGAAAGAGGTTTTTTTCCTGTAATCTCACAAAAATTTCAGAAGTGGTTTTTAGCACTCTGAACTTAGTTGTCTGGCAACTGTTATGGAAAAAAAAAAAAAAACAAAAAAAACAAAGAAACACTGCTGTATGTGTAATCTTAAAATAACTTTTATGCTAGGTCTGTGTCTAGGCCATGCAATTTGCATGCTAGGTCTTAAAAAATGCAAATTTACATTTAATTCTGTGATGCAGCTACAGCAGTGAAAATGGCAACACTTTAGGCAAAATTCTTAAGAAGACCTAATGTACTTATAAAATCTGAATTCTTGAGAGGAGAGTCTAAAACATTTTAACATTCTGTGTTGTCTGACCCTACAATTCCATTAAAGTGGTAGGGTACATTAGCAGTTTCAAAACCAGCTGTTCTCATACTTCTTGCCACATGATAACATCAGGGCACGTAATTTCAAAAGATTGATTTCAAACTGCAGTGTTTTCAAATACATCTTGAAACCCATCTACTGCAATGACTTCATGTTTAAATTGCTTTTCTGTGGAAATGTTTGATATGGGGACTTGTATAAGGAAGTTTAGATCAATGAGAGAGAAACTTGGGTTGCGCTGCAAATGGATTGGGAACAAAACTTTTCACTCTTGTAAGTTGTGTCACCTCTAAGCAAGCAGATGTGCTTAAACCTAGATATTAAGAGAATTGTTATTAAGAGAACTACAGCTTAAGTATAAAAGAAGTCACTTACCATTTATGTGCTAAGAAGTTCTGCTGGTTCTCAAAAGCACTGGTAAAGACAGGGAGGAGAAACGTGCAGGTCCTTTTATTAGAAAGCTGCAGCAGCAGCTTCTCTCTGAAAGTGGTGAGCTCCAGCTGACTTGTACAATTGGCAACAGGGGGAAGTTTTAACTGATGTTGCAACTGCTTTGCTTTGTTTTTTTAAAGGCATTTTAACTGGCTATACCCTGTTTATTTGGGCTCTACTGAGAGAGGTTCTGTAATAAATTTTTCTCAGTTTTGTTCTGAATTGGAGATCCGAAGGTTTTTTCTCAGAGATTTTGTTTCTGGTGAGCAGTGCCAGTGGTTTTCTGGGTGATGATGATGTTGGTACAATCTGTCGTCTCTTTAATGCTTCGTGGAAATAGCATCACTTTTTTCCCGTAGAGGGTGAAGATAAGTCACCACCACAGTGTAATGGGGCATTTTGTAAATGTTTATATAGTTCTCCCATCTACCTTTCTCCTTGCCTGGAATTAGAATTCTTTGTCACTCCAAATGACAGTGATGAGAGGATGTGAAAGTGCCCAAAGTGCGCATCTTAACCATTTCACTAAAGCAGAAGTGAAATACAATATGCAACAATAATACCACCTGCTAATATTCTTTCAAGTGACGCATAAGGAATTGAAAATTACATTTCTAAATTGAAAATTTAAGAGTAAATTCTAGAAGACCTAATATGACAAGGCCTAAATTAAATGAAGATCTCAAGAACGTTGTTTTGAAGGTCTTTGTTCTCATATAATTTAAGCTTTTACAAAAAGACACAGGTGGTTAGAGATAATAACTTCACAGGTAGTCAGAAGGAACTTCTGGTAGGTCTTGTGCACTTTTTTGGGTTCTTAGTTTTGCAATTTAAGCAGTAATGTATTCTCAGGAAGTAGTATACAAATTTGAGGTTCTTCATTTTAAATAATATGGTATTGAAAATAGAGGCTTTGAGTAAATGCAGGAAGTTAGTTCTAAATTAAATGCAATTGTTTGGGTATGCGTATTTAATACCAAATTGTGTTCTAATAGATTTTGTCTGTATGTTGCTTCCTCCTACAGCAGTCAGTACCCATCTGAATTGTTGTAAAATATTACCTCATTTATGTACATTACACCTCACTCTTACATGTGGAAAATCAAGGGTATAGATGCCTATTGCTGGAATCCAGTTTAGACACCTAAAGTATATCCCTCACTGGACTATTCCAGGGGTGTTCCTTTTCTTGAGAAGTGCAGAGTGAATTCTGTGATTAAGGCTCAAAACAGTTTTATGCTCTCTGTGGGAAGGATAAGACTCCACAAAATGTATAATAGGCAGGATAATTCAGCTGGGGAATTGAAACGGTGTAAGGGTTAATAGGATGAAAGACAAAAAGGAAAAGTAATACCAGGTAAGAAATTATGGACATGAGGTTTTTATCTCCATTTTACCATGATTTCATTTTGTGTTCCTTGCTAGTTCTGATAAGTTCTGAAAGGATTTTGCTATGCCTGGGGCAATAGAAGGAAAGCCAATGTAGAAAGAGGAGTCCATGCCAGAAAAGAAGATAATTGAAATTAAGAAGTTATTTAAAAAAAATAACAAAATCTAACCTCTGCTCACAGATTTATGGAAGTACATTCTAAAATACAGATTATTTTTCGCAAACAACGTAATAATTTGTCTTGATTTTTGTCTTTTCAGCCACACTGTGTACTGCTTGCCTCAAAAGAGAATTCAGCCCCAGTAAAGCTTGGTGGCTTTGGGGTAGCAATTCAGTTAGGAGAGTCTGGGCTAGTTGCTGGAGGTAAGAAATTTTCCTTCTCAGTTATTTAGCATTGTGCATGTTGTACTGCAGAGTTCTGTTCTTCTGACACAGCCTGGCCTGCAAAACAAGACTTCAAAAATAATATTTCACTACAGACTCAGTTAACATGGTAAATGCACACAGCCAAGCTGAATTGGTAGTGGATTGTAACCTGCATTCAAACGTTATTAAATCCCTGTAAATGTGACTCAAAAGGAACTCATGCTGGTTTGAGCAAAGTAAAACTGAAAAAACCCAAAGAATTTTCCACTTTAATACAAGCTTTGGCTTAATTCTGCCGTGCTTGGTAAGGCAAAGAAAATAAAAATGCAGTCATTGAAGCACTTGAGTAAGGACTTAGTGCAGCATCATCAGTGCTCCCCTGTTTGATAAACAATTCCTGTCAGAATGCTGTGCTGTTTAATTGCAAAATCTTACTGGTTTTCACATGTGATTCTTTTCTGTGTTTTAAAATTTCATTGTAATTACTGCATAAGACATCAATATCTTGATACGTGTGTATATTTTTTGACTGTTTTGTTTTCTGTGGATTTTATTTCCTCTAGCTGCCTTCCATATTGTTCCAGACAATAGGGTTGTGCTTTAATCAGCCTGCACAGATGAAGACCCAATCAATTTTCTGGTGCTTTCATTGCCAGAGTAGGAGACCACAACAAAACATTTTCTTAGTTTTAATATTTTTTCTTCAGAATTAGTAACTTTCTTCAGTACCATGCATCTTCAAAATCTCAGATTTCCTAATTTAATCACTTAACGTTCTGTGTCAATTTGAGTTTTGTACATTTTAAAAAAAAAAAACAAATCAAATATAAACGTATCAACAGCTTCCATTCCCTTTCAGATATTGCTGACGCCCTGGAAATATCCAAGTATCTTATTAACTACAGACATTTTTTCCAAGAAAATACCCATTCCGTTAAGCTGTAATAAAAAGGTCATTGCTTTCTTTACTTCTCTTGTGTTACTCAAATTATCTGTACCTCAGTCACTGCTTTTTTTAGTGATAGTTTCTACACTTTTGTTTACAATAACCTCATTTTTCTTCTTTATGTTCTGCTGAGCAACTTTACCCACTTCTTCTGTTTCAGCCACTCTTCTGGAGGTTGTCACATGCAGTGTACTTTCACATTACCAATTGTCTAGCAAAAAAAATTCAAGTTCAATTTTGAAAAAAATAAATTACTGCATTTTCCCGAAGTTTGCCATGGCCTTCCTTTTGTGTTACTGTACCCAGTGCTGTGATCCCAATCACTGTTCCTGTGCTCAACCTCCAGCAGTGATCAATGCTGGGGTTTCTGTTTGCAGCTCTCACTGAAGATCCCAAACCTCATCACTTTGATATTTATCAGTGTCTTTTGCTTCTTCCACCTCGACTTCTGCCATGTTGGTCTGCCTTCACACAATTTTTTTTCCCTTTTTCTCAACTGGCATCTCCAATCTGCAAGTGCCAATTTTCATTGGCACTTGTTGCTTTCAGCTTCAAATTCCACTAATTTTCAGGGATACACAGAGTAATTCCAGTCCATTTATATACTGTGGAAAGTCTCCTTAACAGACTCCTCTCTTTTTTCTCATCTTTCCTTCCAGTCTTTTAAGCACAAACTACCTCTGTTATCCTGGCATTTATTTTCCCTGCCAGAACCCTACCTGAAGACAGATTACACAGAACTAGCAAGGTTTTATTTATTCCGTTTTACAGTATAACGTGTTATATGAAAGCTGTCAATACTGGCTGTTTGAACTGGACTATAAATTCCTTGTAAATCAGTGTTTATCTAAACATTTGTTTAAGGGTGTTATTCATATGCATAAGTTTTGTCATAATAGTAACAATAATTTACAGGCACTTCTTATTTCTCAGTTGTCTCATAAAAAAGTAGAAACTCTCCAAATAGAGAACTCAGAGCAGCATCATAACCAACCCGTTCACTTTCACATTGCTTTTCTAATTTCTAGAAACATTGATTCATCTTGACGTAGTCAATTATTTCCCTTTGAGCATGGCATTATTTTTATTTCCCTTTTAGCATGGGAATGGCTGCATTTGGTGGTTAGTACATAAAAAAAAGAAATTCTCTATTAAATAAAATCTATCATGGCATGAAGATAATTTTCCTGACCTGAAATCCCCTGTGCTTTGTTTGTGCTGTTTTTCCTACTTCTGTACACCTTGACACACCTGTGCCTGGCAATCCCAGATTCTGTGTAGCCCCAGGAAAACAAACTAAAGGGAATTTTCTCCCTCAGTGTGTTTGAAGCCAGTCTTCAAGCATCTAGCTTTTGCTTTATTTGGGACTAACATTTTTTGACTTGACAAAGACATCTTTATCAGAGTGTGCATAAATTGCTGGGGAAGGATTTTTTGTAGTGGAGTTAAATTAAACCCCAGGTATTAAAATCTTCTGATGTAAGTCCAAAGACAGACTTGTGAAGTCTAGAAAGTTTGTAACTACAGGGTTCTTTCTTTCAAGCAGGTAGACAACTGTTTTACAGAAGTGTAAGAGAGCTCATGAGAACAAGCCATGGCGTCATTCTAGATGTCATTGGTGAAAATGTGTATGGAGGAGATTTTAGGAGTGACTGTATTTTATCAGCTAACAACTCAGTTGACATTATTTTTAATAAAAGTTCAATTACTGGTTATTATTTACTTCATGTAAGTAAAATAAAGTACAAAAAAAATGACATAGCCATAACTCATTTCTTTATAAGGCCAGAGGGGAAAATGTAAGGAAATATTATTTTTTTCCACTCCATTTGCCCCTAAGCTGCAATAAATGGCTAAGAATCATGTGTTGTCATCTGAGCTAGAGGAAATAGGTTTCATGAGCTACCAATCTCTGAAGGTCTCTTCTTGCTTCAGTTGTTACGATCAGTACTGGAAAATTGTGCTATGGGCTTCACTTGAAGCCTTGAAGTAGGTACCTTATAAAGGAACTCTGGCAGTATACACAGGAGTTAGAGAACATCATAATTTGTAAGTGAATTCCTTTAAGGAGCAGCACAGTTCCATAAGACAGTAAACAGTCTGTGTGGCATTGCTATGATGCAGCTGGAGTAGTGGAACCTCTGGGAAGTCAGTGATTTAACAGACTAATCTCACATTATGATCTCTGTCTCCTTCCTTGAAGAGTTTTTCTTGCAGAGCATAGTATGAATTGTCACAGTATTTTCTTAAATGTGACATCAGATTTATGTGATATCAAATATCATAGATGCTAAATCTTGGGATTTTTAGCTAGTATA